AAAAGCAAATTCAGCTTATTTCTTTTTGTGTACAATTTCATGATTGAATGCTTTAAAAAGAATAGAGAGAATTATCCGAGAAAATGTTTTTGAACAAAAGGAAAAGAAACGCGGGTTAAAATTTAACCCCAGGTTAGTGCCAATCAGCCTTCGAACAACTGGGCCCTGGTGATCAAATTTCAGACACCAGTTGAAGAATGTGTACCCCGCAGACTATCACCTCTCCCCTTCCCATTTCAGGTGCCCACTGGAAAAAGGTTAAGCCTTACAAGCCTAGTGGCCCATAAATGCCAGAGCTTATTCTGGTTTCAGTAGCATGAAGCAACTAGGAATATTGCTACTCCACCTGGATGGGATGCAAGTCCATTGCAGGTTATACCTCAGCATTTCATCATGTTTCCCTGACAGTTAGCCAGTACCCATTTATACTCCTGAGTGGAGAGAAGCACTGTGAGAGTTACGGTGAGTGTCTTGTCAAGAACACGACACAGAGACCCAGCCAGTGCTTGAACCCAGACAACTCAATCTGGAGTCCAGTGTGATAACCACTGGCTCACACATGTACCCATAGTGTGCACACAGTGGCATATTAAAACATGAATAATGGAAATGGTTTTCCTCACTCTTCAAGGGATTGTTAAGTTTTACAAATAGATTCCATGTTGCCGTGCATCTGTTCAGTAATAGATCACAGATGATGTCAAAATATGGTAAGAAGAAAAAAGTGGCGCAGCCGAGTGTGTCACTGACGTCCTTACCACATTTTGATGTCTTCTGTGATATATTACTGAACAGACGCACGGCAACATGGGATATATTTGTTTTATGTAACAAGGAAAAAAGTTGTTGATGATGACGGCATCTATGCATCTGTACTCTGACAGATCATAAGCAACAACCAATCATAGCATGCGTAGAATTCACTTCGTGCCCTGTACCAGACTCTGGAATTCCATTGGCTAACCAGAGTACGTTAATGGTCTATTGCGCACGGTTTAACAACTTTTTCTCCTTTTTGCGTAGCGCAAATAAGTTACTTAGTAATTCAAGGAGCATGTGATATCTTTTTTTTTTTTTAATTTATTGATTTGCAACTCATACACAAATAATGCTTACAACACAAATTATTGGCGTACTTACAACACAGTTACACATACGGTACTAGTGCTTACGCTATTTACAACATGACTAAATACAATTACTCTATTTAAGATACAATCACTAACAAAACTAGTGTCTTGTAACGCGGCTACTTACAAGGGAACTCCTACACTACCTGTGATCTCTTTTCCTTCGCGTCTAGGATTTCACTCATCCATAGGCCACTGGCACGGCTGTAAATAGTATTCCGCCCTGTATTAGACGGACCCCATACTAAGTGAACGCGAACACTAAAATTGAGACATTGCGTTTCACGAAATCTGCATGAAGCGGACACTTCGCGACATTTTCTGATCGACCTCTCTTGGAATGTAATAGAATTGCCAAAGCTCGTTTTAATCAAAAGCAATACGGCAAGTTGGCGATAAGGGGATCACTCACGGTTTAGGCACGACGCAAATTTGCGAATTCCTCTTACCAATGTCTTTCCTAATCGTGAGAGGCATTGAAATTTATAGAATTTTTCTCTTTTAGTGATCTTGATGCATGTTATCACAGAAAGTAAAAAGTTTCAGTCAGCGGTTTACTGTAATAAAGAGTGCTGACCGAAAACAGCACTCAGAGGCCCACAGACACCTATAGGGTTTAAGAGGTGTGAATAAAAGGAAGGACGTTTGACTAGTCGCTAGCGTGCGCCACTTCTAGTGTGTTCACTTATCTGATAGCATACCAGGATTTGACAACAGAAAGTCCAATTCTAACTCAATTAGTGTCCTAAGCAAGTGTCCAAAACAAGTTCATAAGGGAGGACACCTGTAGAAACCTAGTTGACACCCGGTCCATATTTGCTAGCAGATTTAGAGTCCAAACCACAGTATGTGCTTTGCACAAGGTGTAACATCCCGCTATAGTACTCAACTCTTCCAGACTCAAGCCTGAACTTTATTACGATTCTTTTATACTCATGACATGTTACATAACATCAAGTACAGATAAAAGTTGATAAAAATAAAGTATTTTACGCCAGATGCGTGTCGTGCATTAAATCTCCCTATGTATGATCATTTGAAAAAAATACAGTGGAGTCCCATTTTATTTCAAAAGTTCAAGGGACAAACTACAACACGGGACTCAAGCGTTGGAAAAAATCCCCCGTTTCTCTGCTTCAATGTTGCTTTAGAAATTGTGTCCCCCACCCCGGGGTGAAATTTCCAACACAGTACGTCCAGAGTTGTAGTCTACAAGCAAGAAAAGATAACGAAGCTGGAGTCAAGTTACATTCTCTCTGTTGTATAAGTACCCGAAATACTGGGCACAGGTTGGTTGATCTGATATAAAATATACCTTAAAGTACCACATAAAGATAAAAATTATTGGCCTACAACAGCGTCGAAACAGAGCAATCAGTGCCTGTAATTTAGATGCCTCGTAATTAAAATTCAGATGCTTTGCTCTCGTCAGAGTCGGTTTCAGATATCGAAGTTTAAATTCTGAAAAAAATTGTAGGAAAATTACCGGGATATTTTACGAGGGGTAAGTCTGCCGCCCACGCCTCACGCCTTACATACGGCGGCTGCGCCCGCAGTACGTGTGGCAGTCGAAACTGACCTGTTCTACTGACACGACACGACAATAGCCTTTTTCTTCGCAGCTAACAAAAATAAAGACAATGCTAAAGTTGCTTTCGCCTCTTGTAATAGTTGACTTGAGAATTCTGCGTCTAATTTGACGAGGAACAGCATATTTTGTTCAAAATAACACAACTATTATCCTACCTGGCGATACTCAACGAACTACGAGCGAGTCGCTGGCGACCCATTTTTGGCGCCAAATTAGAAGCTTGGAAGCAGAAAGTGCTTCATATTTTAAACTTTTACAATGTGATATGGGTTTTGGAATTGTAAATCCATTTTCGTGAATATTTAATGCCATCTCCAGTAAGAAAAGTTGCCTGATTTCAATGACTTACATCAGTTGACGACAGGACAGAAAAGGTTTTCCTGCCCGCTGAATCCTGATTGGTCAATTCAAATTTCGGGTGCACCAGCCGTATATGCAAGGCGGGACGTGGCACCAAGAGCGAGATAACGGAACTTCACTGTACAACTAATTATTAGGGAGTTTAAGAAAACCACGACGGCAACGGCAACGGGAACTTCGCTAAACAAAAGATTTAATTAGGAGAACAATGGCTGTGCACGTGCGTCATAATTCTTGGTACATTTTTTTACCGTCCTGGACAAAACAACAACGTGAAATGACCAAATTCTGTGTTGTCAGTAGTAACAGAGTTTGGAAGGGTAATTCTCGCGGGATCCGGGATTTGACCAAACTACGATCGAGATACAAAAAAACAATATATTGACGGGATCTGGGATTTGACTGCTCCTCGGGAAGTGGGATTTGCCAAAATTTAGGGGTGGGATGCGGGATTTGTTTGCCTTTTTGTCGAAATTTTGGGAAATTGTCACGTACCAAATTGGGCAAAAAATTTGCGGGATTCGGGATTCTCGTAAAAAGGGAAGCGGGAATGCGAGATCAGGACCCTGTAAAAAGAGTTGGAGAGGCACTCACTTCAACGCAGAAGGATGGCTAGCTGTTCAAGATTCTCCAGGCTTCGTCGAGCAGCATTGTCAAACGTAACTTTGTGCTGTGCAACAGTGTTGAATTCTGCTGTGTAATTCTCTGAATATACATCACCTTCAATAGAAAAGGACTTTTGGACGTATTGGCTTTCATAATTACGCTTAAATTTTCCAATTGAAACAAAAATAATCTTTTTCACTTTGCACTTGATTAAAAGATTCCGAAGAGCTTCAAATGTATTACCATGGTTAAGGTAGTCATCGAACACACACACAACCCTACCCTTCAGCTTTCCCTTATACTTGTCATTTACACGTATAGACCGAAAATGCTTCAGGCAATAATCATCTCTCTGCCTATCCTCTCTGCTATCAAACCTCGATTTTCCTGTTGCCGTGTGTCTGATGAATATTGGCTCAGACTTTCGCCCATTCATCATACATCGGACGCGTTCTTTCAAATCTTTCATAATCTGGGATGGGTTTGTTGAAGAGGATGGGGTCACTGCCCAATCTTCTACCTCTTTAAAGTCCTTGTCGTGGGCAATAGCTGTTGACGAAAGTGACGAAAACTATCAATGTTTTGATTTGCTTAAATAAATTCAGAAAGCTTTATGAGGAACATGAGGATTGACTCATAACAAAGGTGCTAGAACTCAAACAATATCTGAATATCAAAAAGGGCGATGGATAGTTGTATCGGCTGTAACAGGCAAGCCATTAACTCCTTTCTGATGAGATGATTGTTTGTTATCAAACAATTTTCGAGGAAAATCGGTTAACTCTTTGCTGACTTGCTGAGCAGGAGGTGACAAGATTTACCAGGACGCTACATGCAAGCATACAGCTGGTTCCCAGTGCAAATAAGAAACGACCATCGGATACGTGGATTTAGAACTCAGAACTATAATTAATCACGGTGATATTAAGAAGAATCATTACGCTAGTATACCAGGTGCTACTTCTCCTAAACAAACATAGAGATGCCCCTATTCTTTTTTAAAATTTAAGCTTCTATAAGATAAACAACCAAAACATAAAATTTGCCAAAAATCCCAGTACAGGTTCTAATTCAGAGGAATGATCTTAATTAAGGTGTCACGGTTAAAATAACGTTCGACTGATAAAATTAAACAAATAATGTCCTGACCTGCCATAAGGTAGCAGATCAAAGCTTGTTTAATAGCTGGGTTGTCGGCTCCATATTTCAAGATGGCTTTAAAGGCCTCTGCCATGGCTTTCTCTTCAGGGGAGACTGTATACGTGTTTGACAGACAAAGGGACACCACCTTAGTTGGTACAGGATCATCGAAAGCACACAAATAGTACCAGTTGGTCTGATTGACTATTATCTCAATAAGGGCCCTCATTTTCGTAGGCGTGGGTGCTGGTATGCCATATTGCACGACTTTTTCTTCTGGAGTCACCCAGCCAGCAGCAATAAGAAACGACTTTGTGTTTGCTGCGAGATACAAATCCACATCCACCGCACCACAAATTATGACGACTTCCCCATTACTTGAAGTTTCTTCGATGAATTTTTGGGCATCACCCCGAGGTATGAAGGACTTATGCATTCTAAAATAAAGACAAAAATTGATGACTTCTGTTAAATTCCAAACAATAAATTCATTGCTCATAAAGGCAAGGTGGCAATTTTAAGCAAAATGAGTGTCACTTTGAACGCACAAAAATGTAGAAGATAATAATCTGATCCATTCCCTTTCCGGAAAACTGCAACATCAAACACGCTATGTTTCTTGCAAGTGGCATTGGGAACAGGATAAAAGGCATATCTACCACACCTTTGCCTAGGAATAGACTCCCCAATTCATAAATTCAGCACACAGGTCTATTACAAGACTGACTCAGTTCTGGGTTCCGTCTGGTATATACACATCAAGAACTGGAATAATTGTTTTCTTATCGACGCTTTCACATCTCTACTTTACTTTACGTGATCGAACCTAATTGAGCTTCAATCGTTCGATTGTTTTCGATTGGATTCAGTAATCAAACTTAATTGGACTAGTACTCACCAAAAAATTTAGGCAATCGAACAAAATCGAACGATTAAAAGTAAGTTTCGGTTCAGTTTACAATCGAGCTGTTCGGTAATCGAACACACCAAAATAAAATAAAATATCTAACCAATCGAACAAATGCAAACGATTGAAGTCCTTCATTAACTACATATTACTGTATTTTAAATTCTTAATATATTTATAGATGTATATTGATTATTGTAAATTTCAATACTCGTAATTCAGTCGCAAAACTGCAAGGAGTTTTATTTAATAAACAAGTTGACAATCTACCGAGCGTATTTGTTAAAGGCCATTAGGAGTGTTCTTTTATAGTCAATGTTGGGGTAAGTTTGTTGTTTGGGGCCAGTGCTCAAGGTTCTAGACAAAGCCTAGGACTTTAGAGACTGTCAATCAAATGAAGTTAAAAAAAAAAAAAAAATGAAAGAGGTACTGGATTTAATTGAGCGGAAACCACTCTTAGAAATTTGTGCGTTTTATTTTTTAGCATCCTACTGATGATCGGTTTCTACATTTAGATATTTTACGATTTTGGAGGCTCTGTCGCAACTAGAATTTAAAGTGTTATTTTCTGAATATGTTATATAAGTTCATATCTCAATCCCTGTACATCCCATGTATCAAGAAACTCTTCGTAAAAGTGACTGATATCGTTGTCTTTGTAATCAGCAAAAACTATTCGTGAAAACGTCTGAAACATTGAAGAAAAAACACTGCTTGATTTAGTCGTGAATACACAGCACACCATACATCTATACGAGTCTATCTTTTTGTCGAGGGTCGAGGGTC